CAAATTACATTTGTGGTGAATTTTTCTATTACAATGAAGCCCAAAGGTCGGCTGACAGACTTAGCGTACTTTACTTGTGATTAGAATTCGGTAATCTTTTTCGTTTCTTTTCTTGAATACCGAGTATGAAACTTCAGTATAAGTACAGGGGGCAGACACTTATCTTATTTACGAAAATGTCTTGTCGCTCCGCCATCTTGTTTTATATTATTTACCGCTGTGCATAAYATGAGTAARYTTGAKCCCGTCAAATACCGCTGTACGTARTATCAATTTTTCTTCTATCGTGGCCGTCAAGCAACAGTCCAAACTAAGGTAAGGCACAGMGCGCGGTATCYKACGGTAAATAATACAAAAATAASATGGCGGRGCAACAAGAACTTTTCGTAAAAAATATAAGATAAGTGGCGACCTTCTGCCCCMTGTGTATAAGCAAAAGAAAAAAATCACAAAATCGGCTAGGAAATGCATAGACCGATTCCATAACTCGTAGTTTTCGCTCCTTTGTTGAAAAGAGCGAAAACACCGACTTATGGAAATAGTCTAGGAAATGCAGCTTTGGGGTCACAAAATCTTAAATAAATTTACGACTTAATCTTAAAAACTTTAGCTTATTTTAAATATCTTTAGCTATGAATACTTTAAGAATTATATACTTTTCTATTGGCAATAGAGATCATAATCGCAAAAAAACTTCTCTTAATCGTTTTGTCCTACTCGTATGTTTGAATTTCTAGTGAAATGATTATGTGCGCATGCCCTGTTGTCCGATGCCCCGAGAGTGGGCGGGCTATTTGACTATTTGACTGCATGCGGACAGTTTGAAGCACTGATAATAAAAATAATGAAGAGTTTTTTTTAGAACGTATCATTTAAATATATCGATTTTTTTTTACAATAGGAAAGTAGTTATCAATTTCTGGTAAACAGGAAGGTTTTATAGGGCCGAAAGTCAGCAACGGAATCTTTTATCTCTTATCTCACCMGCGGGTAGATTAGTATATATTTTTAATTCTCTGTTTTAATTGATCAAGTTCTCGATGGGGTTAACRCTTTACAGGCACGAAACCGAGAGGGTTGCATTGGGTGCGCAGCGCATCCCGCCTCTAGCTCATCCCTAATCATTCCTAATATTTTTCCTTCTGCCAATGGTAGGACTTTTGTTGGATTGACCGCGCATCCATGAGGGCTTAAAAAAAATTGTTTTTTTATTTTGACTTTATTTCCATGGTATGTGCACCCACCCTGCAACATCCCTGTTTACGGCTCTGTCTTATATTCCCTTTGGCACTATAATGCAGATAAATAGGTTATTTTAGTATAATACTTACTGAAACAGGACTTGAATATCTTCTCTCTTATTCCAAAGTTTTCGTTAAGAAAATAACCAGTGTCGGTCGTCAGAYGATCTAATTTATTTCCAAGTGAAACAACCTATCAAACAAAGCAGGAAGTTAATCTCTGACCCCACAAGGAACATGTCATTAAAAGGTCTAATACAAAGGTCTATACAATACCACAGGGAGCCCAATTTAGATTAAAGTGATTGGTAGAAATAAAATCGGAAAAATTAAATAATTAATTATTTTTTAAATTCGAGGTCAAGATAATGTCCTCTGTAATGCGAAAGAGTAAAAAAATCAATAAAAAAATGCACTAGAACATTTTTTTTCCGCGCGCGCCTTCGTTTTCCTATAAAATTCCCCTATGGTATCTATTATGTTGTTGATATSTAGATAGGAAAGTATATCTACAAATCAACAACTAAATTGGGCTTYCTGTGACAATACAATAAATGGCCTCCCCCGCAGGCATCTCCTTGGCTCTTTTTGCTCCTTGGGCTTCCTGTGGCGAGGGCAAAAAGACGAAGGGGGAAGGTGGAGTGAGAAAGAAGAGGAGATGCTACTCCTCTCGCTTTTTCTCTCCCTCCCTCGTCCCAACTCCTCCTCCTCCTTCTCTCTCGTTCCTAGTTCTTCTCTGCCATAAAATTTAATACAGGGATCCCAACAGAGAATATAGAATATGGAGTAGCCTACCCCGGAGTATATACAATACAATGTATGAGTTCCATTCGATTAATTCTCTTGTCTATAAAATCAAGCACGTTTTGCGCGCACGACAACGGAAGTCCATAGCTCTGTTGTTGCCGAAACTTTTTCTTTAGGCTATTAACTTTTACATGGACTTTATTCATAAAACGCACAAGAGAGGTAACATTTCAATCTTGCCGTTTCCTTTCAATGAGATACTTATTTGTTGAATGTAATGACWGATTTTAATAGATGATAACAACGACCTGGCGGTCAAGCACAAACTCATTCAAAGTAAGCCACCGCTTTTGTTTCTCGCGGCATTTGGAGATTTCCGGTGCACGCGTGAGTTGCAAGGGATAAGGTTTGCTTACATACTATGGTATCAAAGTCTAGCAAGTACTCCAGATCTATTATTCGGCATTTTTCATCCATCGGTTTACTGGTCAAACACAAAGCATTGGTCAAGGCTGCAAGGTAATTTCATGGGATTATTGAAATTTGAACCATGCAACCTCGACTGAATGCTTAGTGTTTGACCAGTGAAMYGATGGATGGAAAATGCCAAATATTCTTTTACTTGCATTCACGCTGTGTACCATTTCTGTAAGTTCGAGTTCTAAAAAAAATCGTTGATAGTCTAGCACAAGATAAATGAACGCCCATCATGAGCACACTTTGATGCTATTTTTRGAATCAATCATTTGATCGTTTGTTTTTCTGCACGCGCATACTGCGCGCGTTCTACCYTGTTTGCTCATGTTTTYATTTATTTTTCAAGACAATGTGAGCAAACAGCGTAGAGCGCGTGCATTTTGCGCGTGCGATAAAACAAACGATGACAAATGTGATTCTAAAAATAGCATCAAACGGTGTTTATGATGGTTACAAGCATGAATACCAGAGATTCCTTCTCCTTAGTTCATTTTCTCTAGTCTAGCACTATTGTATTAATTGTCCTCAGGAACCCTTGAATTCAACCATTAGTGAAACAAATGACGTAAGTGTATTTCTGCATGTACCCATTCTTTGTTAGATTATTAGTTCTATTGTATAACTTGGGGTCTTATTGAATGTTTCTATTGAATTACTGTGAACTGTGTCCGGTGCCCGATACCAAAAATTCGTTGATTTTCTTGCAAATTTTTGTGCACGTTCTGTTTTCCCAATCACGACGCATTAAAATTTGAAACACACCTTTTGTTGAAGTGCTTTATCAAAAAAAAAAAGAAAAAAGAAAAAAGAAAAAAAGAAAAGAAGAAGAAATAAAAAAGATGCTCGAAAGTAGTGAAATTTAAGTAATATTTTCGGGATGTATGAGAACTAGGCAAAGGTTAATAATAATATATAATAATAGGAAAGAATAATAATAAATAAATAAATAATACAAATAGTACCACGTAGTTACCTCGGCTTCTGCGAGATTTGATGCACAAATCCAATACAAATTGACGGTAATTATATACTTCGTAGCTCTTTTTCCTTTCCTTTTCGCTTCTGACACTATCTTCCACTAAAGTAAAACGTTTTCTTCAAATAAAGCAAAAATATATCACTCATCGGAGAGTGGAGAAAACTTTCTTCTGATTCTGAAGCCTGTACAGTTTGTTTTTGTTATTTTAGTGCGAGTCTTTATATTTATGGTGGTGAGGTGAAAGGATTATTCAAGTCACGAACAAATATATAAACAAATGAGTCGCTAATTGAAAGTGTTGCTATATAGAGGGCAGCCATGACAGGAGGCACAACAATAGCTTTTTCCCCTGGGAAACKGAATTATTTCTCATGTAAATTAGATTAAACCAGATTCAAATGTTCGTGCCTCGTGTCATGGCTGCCATCACGTGATGGTGCAAAGCCTCTATACCGATTATGTAAGGAAAAAAGTAAGATATATTCATTACGAAAGACCAGGTGAATTAGAATCTAGGCGCGCAATGCATTTTGTCAAATTTCCAATAATTTTCTATTATATCTTGTCAAAACGAAATATAACTATTTCTAAGAGATATTCGGTAAAWCTCACGGCGGATGAGTTTTCCTGTCTTTTATTTTCGACTAGAACTGTTGTTTGTCCAGCCGAAAACGTGGAAATGTGTGAAGTGGTGTGAACATAAGCATATCTTTGAAAGTCTGTTCTGGTTTGCAAGAGCAATCGTACAGTTCCTAACAAAAGTTGTCAACAAGAATAGCGAGTCTTTAGTCTTGAAAATTGAAAGTTTTRAAATCAAACGGAGCACTTAAGCTAAAGATTTGTTTTCCACGTTTTGCAAAGTGTTCTGGTTTGCACGAGCAAACAGATACACTAGTTCTATAAATTAAAGACGAAATCTTTTACATTTTGTAGACACCCATTTCTTAGACTTTGAGGCTTTCCGCTCACCTAACAACTATTATCAGAAAATGCACTCATTTTTAAAACACTGTTTGTACATTATTCTGTAGACAACACTTCTGCAGGGTTYATTAGCAAAAAACCAMAGGGAGCCCAATTTAGATAAAATCGAGACAGAAACTTTCGCAGATCATTTCTCCTTTAACGTGTTCTTCGTCACGTTAAGATATGAAGTAATCAATGTAAAGTGCACAAAATCARTTTAAAGTGTCGGAAATAATAGGAAAGAAAGAAGATTAAAGATTAAGATCTCTTGAGGGGATGCTTTAACGTCTCCCTTCAGGCTGTAATATATATTTCAAAATTGTATCTATATTACAATACAATACAAATAGGAAAAACGACACATTTTATAACTGTTTTTATAAAACTGAACGCACTGAAACATAAAACTGAAAAAAAAAAAAAAAAAAAAAAAANAAAAAAAAAAAAAAAAAAAAAAAAAAAGCGTTCGGGTTGTTTGGATTTAGCGATCTATATAAAAACTATCAACTACTTTTGAAAAAATGAGACTAATTTGCTTGATTGATAAAAAAGTGCGGTGTTGATTTTAAACTCCTTTTTYATAGGTAAGTTTGACGTTCAAATTAATGCGTGGTGCGGATACTGAAGAAAATCCTTTGTACTTAACGATAGAAAGGAATATCGACTTTCAACACTAAACTGGTTAGCAAAGAGCTGTCTTCAGTCAATACTGAATGCTGAAATGATCTTTTGACAAGGTAAAAAATCTTATATTTCTCTCGGGAATGCAGGAGTTTTACTTAGTTTACGAAGTATCATTATTATTATTGTCAAACAATCATTATTCAGTGCTTGACTGATGATCTGTAAAAGAATATTCGTAGTATAAAATAGAATGGAATTGCAAGAATTGCAAGGTATTCGGTGACTTCTTACGATGCAATATCGATTGGTGAGCGAAAAGCACGGCGCGTTTTCCATGGAAAGCGCGCGAAAATCATCGATGCTGATTGGTAGGAAAAACWTTAGAATTTTACGGCGAATATCAAGTATAAAATTATATCTCCACCATTCTTCCCCCTGGGAGGCGTTGTTTATGTCAGAAAGAAATGCAAACTGACTGTAGCGGACATGAAAATGCTCAAATATGTCATCGTTATTAAAAAGTTTCGTTTTYTTTTCTTTCTTTAGCTGAAAGATGAATGCGACAAATTTAAATAAGAGTCTTGTTGTGACAGACAGCGGAGGGTCGGATATGTTCTTCATGTACACCATGGTGGTCATGATATTCATTGGTTTGGTTGGACACTTAGTTGCATTGTTAATCTTCTCCAAGCCTCTATTCAAACGGCGACCAGTGACAGTATATCACGTCAATWTGAGCACTGCAGCTTTACTACTGTCGGTTGTCGGAAGCACGCTCTCTCTAGTGAACGTTTCAAAAAGGAACGAASTCGAGAGGTCMAAATTCGTCACTATGTGTAGACTTTCCGTGGGACTGGAAGTTTCGGGGATGACAGTTTACGCCCTCACATCAGTCATGATGTTGGGACATTCCTACTTTATGACTGCTTATCATGTTACGTCATCTTCGTTCTACGTACCGCGACGAATCACGTTCACTGCMGCGGGAGTGTTTTTCTCATGGATTTGTGGCCTTCTTCTGGGAATTCCTCCATCATGGTCGATGGAAGACTTCGTAGTTTTCGAGGACCGAGTAATATGTCAGCTGTCATGGTTGGGAAAAGGGAGCGCAAAAATTTATTGGATTCTGCTTGTTATTTTATGGATCTGTGCGCTGTTTTTGAGCCTGGCAACACATGCCTTCACACGCAGGTATAAATCTTCTGATTTGGTCGATAATAAATCAAGGTGTATGACGTAATAGTCCATTACTTATTCAGTAAGAGTATTTTTAGAATGTTCCTAATAAAAGAATATTACTATTATTATTATTCTGCACTGCTCCGCCTGAGAGGATCACGAGCTATTAGAAGAACACTTGCATGACACTCAAAACGTGGACTTCTCCCTCGATAACGCTACCGCACGCGTAACCTATTTTTTTATAAAATAGGCTTTATCGATTTGCTTTTTTATATGTGTATGTAAATATAAGACCGATATTTATATGCGCTCATTTTAATCTTGAAATTTATTTAGCAATTATTCTTTTAGTACTTGAAATAAAGTTTTTAATTATTATCATTATTATAAATAGATATATTTTATTTTTATTGTAGGATATTTGATGAGATAATCTATACGTCGTATATATATATATATATACATAGATATAAAATACGATTGTTTTTTTTTTCTTAGTGAGAAATGTATTATTATTATTATTATTATTATTATTATTATTATTATTATTTATTTGTTTTGTCGTCAGGCTCATCTCAGGCCCTTCTCCACACACGTCCAACGCGTCCGTGCTTCACGGCCAAATTAGATCCAACAAGCTTAACAACACACTCGTYTTCTCCTTGTTCATTTTCATTCTTCCACATCTCTTATTTGGCTTCTTTACAACGATTGTTGGACACCATTTTCTCCCTACATTCTTAACGCTGGTATTGGAGATGACGTCGAAAAGTTACGTCATCCAAGGYCCGTTTATATTTCTCGCAAAGTCAAGGACGTACCGAGCGATCCTGGGTAACATTCTCTCAAATGGACCATTCGTACAAGTCGGGCCAGCTTCAAACTTATCTAACGGCAGCAGGACAACGCAGAGAAACAATCGTCGTGCAGGGGCTTATCCCAATGGGACTAACAGAAGCCACATAAGAAGACCTACCTATGTGACACCTATTGGAACGGGGGAAGGAACAAGTGCGAATTCTAGCGGTACAGTACCTACGAACTAAAGCTGCGTCTTATGCTGTKTTGCATATCCGTTAAGAAAAGACTTGCTACATCTGCGTCATATTTGCGTCTTGTTCAAGTAAACACCGATATCGAACAAAGACTTTGAAAATTGTAAATAATCGTTTGTTGAATGATATTAAGAATACTGTCAAGCTGTAAGACGCAAAAATCAGAGGCGGAGGTACCTGACTGGGCTCARTACTGCAATAAGCTCCCCATTAACGAAGAAAAGAGAGAGAATACTGTCAAGCTTCAAGACGTAGCACAAATCGCAATATTTTGTCAGAGAGCAGCTCAGTGAAGCGCCTAATGCGTGGTACGAGTGATAAAGGGAAAGGAAAATTAAAAGAAAGCTACTTCGAAAATTAACTATTGATTTTGATTTTAAGACATCCTTGATGTCTTGTCAATATTATTAAAACCCTTGAAACCAAATAACAAAAAAAAAAAGAAAGAAAAGAGCTTTGCTTGATTACAAAAGGCCTGGAGGGACATTCATACTTCGCACTTCACTTCTTATTTCACATATTTAAGTGATTTAGCTTCACACTTCATTCTTCACGCTTCACATTTCACACTTCATAATTCACACTTAAAATTTCAGTTATCAAAATTTACTTCGGAGTTAGTGTGTATGTCAGAAAATCAGACAAGAAGCTAGAAAACCAACAGATTCTTCGATTGCACGTTACGTCATCGCGGCCATGTTGGTGCCATTTAACAAAAGATTTCTCATTAGCATCCATTGTTAACTGCACCACAATGGCCGCAATGCTTTTGTCTTTTAACTTTCTTGGGAATGCTTGCAACCCACCAATATGGTAAGTCTATTTTTGCTAGGTCCATTWACTAGATATGTACGACTAAACTTTTTTGTTTTATTTTCTTTCTTTCTGTTGTTTTTAGGTCGTGATCAGGAGGTTCTTTATCATCATTTTCGTTGTATACGTCGTTGGCACCGCAGAGACACAAGTGTTGCCACGGTACACTTTTTCTCATCTCCAAGGTTATCAAAGACTTGATTGTTAACTATTTAAATCAAGGATATTCCTATTGAAGAAATAGAAAGCGCGCGCGCGTGCTGTGTGCTGTCATAAAGCACGCGGGGGTTGGCAGAACACGAGAGAAGTGTTAGGAGACACTTCTCGACACTTCTCGAATGTTCTGCCAACCCCCAAGTGCTTTATGACTGCACACAGCACAGCAAGCAAGTTTTTTATTTCTTTTATAAAATACAAACTACAATAATAGATAGAAATGACGCAACGGAAAGTGCGCGCGCGTGCAATGTGCTCTCATAAAGCACGCGCTCCAAACCAATCAGAACGCGACATTCATAACAGTTATTTTATAAAATGAAATAATTTTCACTGTTCCTTACCATATGTGAAATAAGAAGTGTTAATTGCGAAGTACGAACGTCCCTCCAGGGCTTCCGTACTTTGATAGCAACCTCTATTTTAGATTTCGTAGAAGTTACTTTTAGACTTAATGAAATAACTATGCATACTTTACTATAGATAGTACAATTAACATCTGTCGATCTTAAAAAAAAAAAAAAAAGCTATTATTTTAGGTTTTACTCGTCTCTAAACTTGCCAAAAGTCGTCCACAACAAAAATAATAAAATATTAAAGGGAGCCCTTTAGAAAGTCTAAAGTATTTCTCCCATTGGTTTAGCCCTAGTAACACATCRGCGTACGCTTTACGACACAGGAAGCCCAAGCTCTGTTTCTGTAGGGGTAAATGTTAATATGTACTGACATGTTTTTGAAAATATTCTGAAATTTTTTCAGAATGTTTTTTTTATGAACCCGGATTTCTCCTTTTAAATTTGCAATGGACGAACTTTGGGAAGCAATTTGACGTTTGCGGGGTTCCATAGTTACAATGACGTCAATCATTGTTTTACACTAATATATATATGCAAATGAGCGTTYCCCGGTTGCCAAATTAAAAACATCATTCTTTGATCAGCCATGAGACACATTCTCAAACACAAGAAATACCTTTTCTCCTTATTTTTCTTCGCCGTTCTTGGCTATTCATTGGTGAGTTGACTTTCAAGCAAAATGATTTTTAGAAGTTTTTGATCTCCGAACAGCATCAAAATCCTTGTAATCTTTGCAAGCCTTCATGTCCTGCAAGCTTTTGACCAGGATTAGTTACAAAGTCGATCGAACTAAATACAAAGTCTTCAAATGCGATTTCGGATTTCCTTCAAAAATTAAAAAAAWCCTATCCTGCCCTTGTCGAATTAGAGTTTGTAACTATATTATGAGAAATCGGTCAAGACGTTACGTTAAATGTGAGAAAAAGTAGATTTATATACTCATTTATTTTGTCGAATTTTTTTGAACAGTTATAATGCTTGATGAGGCATACTACATGTATCGTAGCACCCACTTCACTCCATTTTCCCAATAACACATTTCAATTTAGTAACCATTTTTGTGCTAGGGTTTTGAGGCCTATGAATATTCTGATTATGAACCAGAGWCCTCACACAGGAGTAGACGTGCTGTAGCAGTATATGGTAAGTTTTACACTCCTTTGGGCTATATGTAGCAGTGAAGTATCCTGTAATGCCCATAAGCCTCTGGCTTGGGGCCTATCAGTTAATATATCTGTTATTTTTTTTATATTGTTCAATAAATTGAATAATTGAATAATAATAATCTGCTTGCATGTATTTACCCCAGTAAATGTAATTTACATAATTACTGCGGTATTCGCATTCTGCAAACCTGTTAGTTACAAGCTGCGCACTGAAATTTGGTTTTTCGCTGCCGTCAATCAAAAATAATCAGTCGGTGCCTTTTATGTTCTTGACTGGTGACAGTTACTAGTAAAAAACGATTTCACAACCAGCTGCTGAAATGTTCGAGTTCGCATGATATCAAAAACCGAAGTAAGAAAATGAGTTTCATACAAAGTATCACAGAAATTACTTACCAGTACTCCAACTTTCAATTTCAGATCCACCGCAACCTTCGCAGGAATTTCCAGCCATTTTATTCTCAGACTTGTATTTCAATAATGATACCTCCAGTGGTTACTTTCATCGCCTTCGGCCAGGAGAGTTTCGTGTCTGGGGTAGGACAGTRGCTAATCAAGAGCGGCAGTTTCTGTTTAGGTCMATGCTCTTTATGCCAGATGCAAATGTGTCCTTTAAAGGTACATAATATGGAATATAATAATTAAGATTTTTTTTAATAAGACAGTACACAGATTCTAAAGACAACAGGTTTTTAGGGAGCTATGAATTACAATAACCTTTTGTTTCCCGCTCGAAATAAAGTTATTGTATTTTATTATATAATTACCAATGAAATATCTTTTTTTTCTGTTTTGAAAAATTGATATCTTCACACGTGAAAATAACATGTTATTTTAACACCATTGCGATGGCTATTCAAAAATACACGGAAAGAAATGCCTGAAAAAGCCAAAACATACTTCATTGATAATTATATAATAAACAGAATATTACATGGCCGCTTGGAGATAGGAATTTTATCTTCTCGTGTTGAAAATCTCTCACTCATTCGCTACGCTCGTATCTCCGCGCGCCCATGTAATATCCTCTATGTATTTTGTGGTAATCTATAGCTTGCTAAAAATTCTGATAGACTTGCTAGCCACTAGTGACATAAGGATCATGATCATAATCATAAACATAATCGTAAGAGTGTTATGAATGTATTGGTGTTTAAGGCAGGTTATGTTTATGATTATGACCCTTATGTTGCTAGTGGGTACCAAGCCTTATCGGCAATGTTGCACTGGCAGTGGCCGATGCAGAATGATTTCAAGAGATATCACCCAATCCACGCCCAAGGGAATCAAGGTTGGGGTTTCAGGGTCAATTCCTAATGTGAGTAAAGATGGTTAGTTTCTTTGGAATTAAGGTTTTTTTTCCAGGTTGTCTGGTTTTCCTCACTCCTCAAGGGCTGCATAGCAGTAGTACACCTACCTCTCACCTATGTGGTCCCAGATTCTTATTCCTTGACTTTGCATCTCA